ATCCCACACATCAATAAGTCAGTTTATAAAGTCTCAATGAAAAGCTTCTTTCAATGATTATTTTACTGTTGTTTGATTTCTTGAAAGTCACTTATAGGATTATTTTTAGAAATCTTGCTTTCCTCTAAAACTGCCTGTGCTACCTAAAAAGGAGAAACTATCATTCACTATCAAATTACATTTTCTTCAGCTTCTCTTTTCAAAATATTGAGGGTAACAAGGACCTACTTCATAATACAATAATTATTACTGGTGCTCATAATGACCAAAGCTGCCAGGCTTCTGAATGTCAACAGAAGTAGCACGGCAAGCTTGAACACTAGCTACTTAAGTGTGGTTAAAAGCATAAATACAAAGAAAAGCTTCTCTTGATACTCTGTGAGGAAACCATCATATTAAAACATATAAAGGTATGTGTGCTACTCCCTAAGTAACTGATCTGGTTTTCTCCATATATTCCTTGGAAAGAGAGAGCTGCAGTGAGAAGTCCAGAATAAGATTTAATAATGAAAGAAATCCAGCATGACAGGCCATGATGCTTCGGAATAACCACAAACCTTTATTCTCCACATATTCACTTAACGCCAACCCAAAGCATATCGGGCAGGTTAAAAATAATGCATTTATGTAAGCACCCCCTCCACACATATACACACTCTTGCAAGGCTAAATAGGGAGCTCTGAAAGAATGATTTATTGCCACAAGAACAGAGCCCCAAAATAGATTGGCAATAAAAGTGATTGGTCCCTGTGGGGTTGAGTACTAATGTAAGCAACATCCTGGCAATGAAAGGCATCCGGGAAAGAGCACCAGAGATCAGGGCAAGCTTCCCAGCCCTGACCCCACATCTACCAGAGTTCTACTCTGGGGGGCAAGTCATGCAAACTCCCTAGAAGTCTGATTCCTCATCTATAAGATAAAAAAATACTAGACTAGACTAGTTCATTTCTAGGATGTCCTTTTCCCCCCTTTTGCTTTGAAATCTGCTTTATCTTTTTTGGTGCTGAGCTCTGTGCAAAGGAGAAAAGAGAACTTGGAAATTCACTAACACTTACACAAAAAGTCTTTTAGCTTCTCTGTAACACACATCACCACTTTACCCACATTTCAGCTCAATCCACTTTAACACTAATTGGCCTGCCTGCTACCTGCCAAGTCTATAAATGGGTGATCAGGATCTTCAAAATGAATAGGGAGTTTCTGTGCCAAGGTCTTGAGTGTAGAATAAAATGACAGCATAGAAGGTGAGATCCTGAGTGAGGTAGGCCATGGGTGACACAGAGCAGAGGGAAAGGGCCACCACCATTCTGGAGCCCTAAACTACCCAATGAAAAGTGGAGAACAGGGTTAGGCATTGGGGACTTGGAGGGAACCCCAAGATCTACAGAGAAAGAGAAATAGCCCCCAAGACCATCTACCTAGATCCCTCTCCAGGCAGGAGTCCTATCCCCAGCGCCCAACTCCAAAGCTTGGCAGGTGGCAACGCCTCTGCTTGAGCACTTGCAGTACTGGAGAAATCACAGGGCAGCTCATTCTACTTTTGAATTGCTCTTAAAAGTTAAAAAGTTCTATGAAACTGAAATCTTTCTTTCAACCATTGGTATCAGTTTTCCATGTGCCGCTACTAAGATAAAGTTTAATGAAGGAGGAATGAGAAGGAAAGAAATTTAGGCAGCCAAGCAAACACGGTTTCAGGGTCCAGAAAGGAAAGGCAACCAACAGGAAGCCCTTGTCTAGGTCACGTTGGCAATCTTAGTAGCAAACTCAAACACACACCCTGATCTGTCCTCCCCACTCAATGAGAACCTACTTTCCTGTGTTTCTGCATCTCAGGAAAGAAAGCCAGATTTTACTCATGGATTTGGCTGCTCTACCCTACTCAGCCCTCTGTCTGAGCAGCTCTCCTAGATGAAGTCCCCACCCAGGGTCTTCCTGCATGGTCTGCCCTGACTGTTCAAACCCCACCCTCACCCTACCCACCCAAAAGAAGAGCCCCTCTCTGCCCCCTGCTAGACATCACAGGCCCAGAAGTGAGAGCCAAGATCTAGGTCAAGGACTCAGAGCTGCCCAAAGGAGGGAAAAGCACTTTTAAAAAGATATTCCAGACTAACTATGGGATGGGACATTGTAAATGATGCTACTTAAATTCTGCCCTGGTTCCTGATTCTAAGTCAAACAACTAAAAAAAGAAGCTTGTCAAGTCATTTTGGAGGACTGAAGAAAGGAACAAGACAATAAGCAAAATTACTTGGTTCTGCCCCAAACTGAACATGAACAGGAGCCCGGGCAGCAGGGGCAGCCCAGGGCTCGGCAAAGGCCAAGAGCTGATGATAACTCCTTGGGAAAGCTACACTAAGAGCAAGTAAGTTTTCTGTGGGTGTCCAGTCCAACCTAATGTCTTCTGGGGCTCTTAGGAGCAAAGGAAGTGATTTTTCTACTATGCATAATAAAGACGTAAGAAATCACAAGCACCAAAAATTCCATCTCCAGCGCACAGGAGCCTTTCTAACAGAGAGCTGAATTCTGCACAGAATCTATTATTCTGTGACAGGTGGCAGAGAGAGAAAGAAGACAGGCTAGACTTTAGCTTCAGGGCATGAAGGGAATACGTCCTAGTTCTGCTATTAAGAGGTAAGACAAGGCTGCTCTACCCGGTCAGTCACACCAAAAAAAAAAAAAAAAAAAAAAAAAAGGCTTTCTGTTGAAAGAGCTCATGTTTTCCTAAACCTTTGCTTTCTGCAGGGACCTCACAAGGAGAGTGAGCACGGAAGAGTATATTAATCCCAAGCTGACACTGGAGAGTTGGAGTGTGTCACTCCCAGACACAACCAATCTGTTAAAATGAGTCAAAAATAACCCCACCTGGGCAAAGATCAAGCAAACCAAGGCAAAACAGTGCTAAATCAGCTAGCTACCGGCACTGCTAACTTCTGGCTCTGACCATCGCCCTCCCGCCTCAATTGTTCCTTGTGACCCGGAATGTCGAACTGACCTCACCAAATCTGGGGACTTGATTTTGAAAGAGGCCATGGAGAACCGCAAGCCACTGGCCTCCGGCGCGCACACCCCGGCGCAGGCCCGACCCCCGGCCCGTCAGCGTGCCCAGCCCAGCCGTCCCCCCAGGGGTCGCCACCTGCACCCCCGCGCACGCCCTCCACCGCCCCCACGCCTCTCAGGCCCCGACCTGGCCCGCCTTCCTCGGCTCTCCAGCGCGGAGTCTGCATCCTCCCGCCCGCTCGGAACTGCGCTCCGAGCTGCGGGCCCCGCGGCTGCGGCCGCCGCCGCCTCCGCCGCCGCGCGAGCAGACGGGACTGGGCGCGGGGACGCGGCACGCGGGGACGCGGGCCCGGCTCGCGCGGGATCTGGGCCGGGGCGGGAGGCGGCGCCGCCGCCGGGGTACCGGGGACGCCCTGTCACGCCCCCTGCGCCGCGCGCCCCTCCCGCAAGCTGGTCGCTTTGCTCGCCTCTGCCACGGCCACCCCCTCCTTGCCGGGGTGGACGCCGGGCCACCTGGCACTGCCTCCGCCTCCACGCCGCCCACGCCGCGCCCCGGCCCGCGCCGCCCCCGGGGCCACCAGCTTCCCAGAAGACCCTCCGGGCCGCCCCGGAGACAATGGCTCACCTCGCCGCCCAGCCCGGCCCGCCGAGCTTCGGCTCGGCCACCGTCCTCCCCGCCCTGGGCAACGGTGCCATGGCTGCCCCGTTTCACAGAAGTGTAGACCGAGGGCTGGGGAGGCGAAAGGCTAGAGGACCGGGTGAGGAAACCTGGCTGCTGCCAATGGGACCGAGCAGGGTCCAGGCACAAATCGGCCAGGGGCAGGCACAGATGGGAGACCGCTTTCCCCGGCCAGGGAGCGGCTCCTGCCCGGTCCGCCGGGCCTCCGGGGCAGGGCCCTCCGCCCACGCCGTCCCCGCCGCCGCCTCCCCGGCCCTGCAGCGAAAGAGACAAAGAGCCGGCGCCCCAACCCGGGAAGCCGCGGCGGGAGACCGGGGATCCTACACGGAGCGCGGGGCGGGCGCAGGCAAGGCGAGCCGCGGCATTCTCGCCGCGCCGCGCTGCGCGGGGCTGCGCCGGCCACGGGGCACGCCGGGGTGGGCCAGCAGCCCCAGCGCGGGGTGCAGAGGCCGCGGGCGAGTGCTCGCGAGCCCCGACGGGCGGGCGGCGAGCACCGGCGCGCCAGGCCCGCGGACGGCGCCTCCGCGGTGGGGTCGGCCGAGCGCTCGGGGCAGCGCCGCCGGGGCCGGCCGGCCGCAGTTGCACTCACCAGATCGGAAGAAGGCCGCGATGTCGGCCAGGTCCTTGGCAGCCTCCTCGGCCCCCTCGCCGGCGCCGCCCCCGCAGCCCGAGCCAGCCGCGCTGGACGCCGCGGCGGGGCCGGAGGACACGGCAGGGGCGGCAGCGCGCCGCTGCTGCGCTCATGCTGCGGCGGCGGCCGCGCCCGCCTCGGCCCCGCGTCCCTAGCGCCGCGCCCGCCCGCTCCGCGCGGCCTGGCAGCGCCAAGCACCCAGCAGCCCGCGCCCGCGCGCGGACGCAGAGCCCGGCGGCGGGGGCCGGCAGCGCGGCTCGGCCCGAGGAGCGCGCCCACATAGACGAGGACTCCGCCCGGGAGCCGCGAGCCGGCCGCGGGGCGGGGCGCGAGGCCACGGCCTCGGCGGGCCGGCCGGAGCGCGGGCAGCAGCGCGCGCCGCGCCGGACACGCAGTCGCGAGGGCGGGGGCCCGTGGCCGGCGGGAGCTCCGGGATCACGGGCGCCGGCGGCAGCCGCGAGCCTCCATCTTGATTTCGAATGGGGAAGGAAGGAGGGGGAGGGGGGAATCACGGCGGAGGGAACCCGGGTGAAAGGAAAAGGGAGAGCAGGGAAAGGAGAGGAAGGAAAAAAAGAGGGGCTTCGGGAATTTCCGGCGAACCTCGTCAGGGGCCCGAGCGTGGGCTCGGCAGTGGGCGGGGCCTGGCGCTGAGGGGCGGGGCCAAGCGGGGAGGGGTGGGGCCGTGCCGGGCGGCGGCGCGGCCGGGTGGCCCGAGGGCCGGCGGGGTGGCCCAGAGGGCGTGCTGCTTGGCTACTTCTCCTTCGCCTGGGCAGCTCCGAGCCTTGGGAGGAACAGGATCGCTCTAGCCAGCCGGGGCGGACCTTCCCAGGCCCGGCATTGCGCCCCCAGCCGGCACGCTGGCTCCTGCGTCGGAGCGCGCTCCTCCAAACGCTGCAGCCGTTGCATTCTCACGTCGCCGGGGCGGGAGACTGGGCGCGGGGGCGTTGTGTCCCCCTTGGCGCTGCGTCGGCCCTGGCGCGCCGCGGGGCTCCGTGGTAGTTGTAGAGTGAACAAAGGGAATGCAAACAGGTTAACGGCTCCCTCCCCGAGGCCGCGGTACTCCCTGGGTGCGAGTCTCCTCTTGAGTGGCAGGAGATTCCTTTCTGGGAATCCCCGGCTCCCGAGTGACCTCGGGTTCCTCCATCCTCACCCGCCAAAATGTAGGGGGGCGCGGAGACCGAAGGAAGTGGACCTTCGCGGGAGATCCCTGTCAAATCAGCGTCGGACGAATACTCAAGTACAAAACGCCTAAGCCCTGGCTACAAGGGGAGTAGGGGATGGGTGTCAGAGGTTAGAGGGTGCAATGCTGGGGAAAACAGAAACGAGAGAGTGAAATCGCTGTGCACAATACTGGAAACAAATAAATGGCGGGTGGTGGCCACCAGGTCTTTCATAGTTGGAGTGGGAGTTACAGACAAGAGTGATCCTGATGGTGCTGGGTTAGCATTGGAGACATCGTATGAACTCTCGTTTGGCTTAATATAGACATAGGTGGGTACATACAAAGACCTCTAGGTAACGGGGTAGAACACATACACGGGTGTCCTTGCTTTATCAGTTGAGTGGCTCTAGAAACAGCACTCTTGTAGCCACAAACGCAGCTGGCCCTCAGATCTTGTTTTTAATACCATTCTCCAATAAAAGGAACCAGGGCTCATTGAGGAAGTGGCTAATTCTAGGACTTGAAAGGGAAATATTCAGGATGAGCATGGAGCACCTTGTTCCACCAGCAGGTAAGGAAGGCCCCACCCCCCCAAAAAATGTTTTTAAATCAACAGCAACAATGATGGGGATATGTCAAAAGGACACAGGAGCCAATTGAAAGAGCTCCCAGTGTCCAAAGCTGAAACAATTTGAGCAAGAAAATAAATAAAGCAGTATTTGATTATAACCGAAAGTATAAAATAAACCTCCATGAATCCGTACTGATATAAATAAATGATTAAGTAAATAAATGGGGAAGCAGAGACAGATCTCCCATGCAGAAGAATTCCCATAATTTATGTAGATAAGGTGCCCTCCTCCATGGGATGGGACAGAACTGCCCTCTCCTTAACTGTGGGATACACATAGTAACTTACTGCCAAAGAACACAAAATGGAAAGGAGGGGAAAGAATCCACTTTCCATTGGAGACAAACACTACCTCAGCCAGGTGACCCAGGTGCGCATCAGAAGCAATAAGGCATGTTGATAGCATGTACCCTTGATATGATGTGCTGAGACTGGCATTTTATCTCTCTGCTCTTCCTCCTAAAAACTCATATCTCCGGTGTAATCATGAGAAAAACATGAGGTGAATCCCAGTTGAGAGATAATTCTACAAACAACTTGACCAGTACTTCTACACCTGTCAAGGTCATTACAAATAAGGAAAGGCTCAGAGTCTGTCACAGCCAAGAGGAGCCTAAGGAGACATGAAGACTAAATGCAATGGAACCAAAAAGTACAGTTAGGTAAAAACTAAGAAAATCCGAGTAATATATGGACTTTACTTCATAATAACAAATCATTATCGCTTCTTTAGTTGTGAGAAATGTACCCTACCAATAAAAGATGCTGATAATAGGTAAAACTGGGTGTGGGGTGTTTGGAAACTCTCTACCATCTTCACAAATTTTCTGTAAATGTCAATCTATTCTAAAATAAAAGTATATTTAAAAGGTTATTTTAAAAATAGATGTGCTGTATCTCCAAAAAAAAAAATGCAATAGATCCAAATTTTACAGGCCATCAGCCCAGGTTTGCCGACAATATTTCTTCTTCTTATTTTTCTCTCTGTTAATTTGTCTCCAGCTCCCATTCCCCCTTGGCAGAAAGCTTAATTTTACTTCAGGGAAAACTTAGTCCCTGGGGGTTTTGTTTGTCAATTGAGTGTCCCCCTCCCCACCCTCTCCCCAAGGTTGTAGCCAAGCTCCCAGAGGCTTCACTCCGGGTGGCAGTGAGGAGGTTGTTCCTGGTCCTTGGCCATCATGGGCTTATGCTGGCACCAGCGTAGATGTGTGCCCCATGCCTGTCACTCCACCCTGACACCGTGTCTGGATTGCAGGCATTGCTAAGTCCTCGCCTTCTGCTGCTGCTTCCTCCCCACCCAACCATGGCAACTCTCGAGGTTGGCTGGCCATCAGTGCCCCTCCTGAGCTATTCCCAGGAAAATATCCAGCTGCTGAAACACCACCCTCCTTTGCCCTCCCCATCCAGCCTTAGAAAACAGGGCCAAAATCTCTGCTGTCAGAGCCCTCAAGCTTATCTGGGCACAGGCTTTTTTCTCAGAGACTTGTTGGCGTTTAATGCTATCCATCTCCCTTCCCTCCCCCCCCCCAGGTTGAAGAATATTTATGTCCTCTCCAAGAAGAAAACCTAACCCCAGTTTTGTTATGCTTTCTTCGAAATCTATTGTTTGTTTTTGCATAACCTTTATGTTCTTCAAGAGACTCAGCTCTTGATGTTCAACAATTATTGTTCAAGAACAATTATTCTCTCTGCCATGGCTTCCAAAAGTGTCTCAAAATTCAGAAGCCAAGTGCCAACTTAGTTCTCTTTGCGTCCCTCTTGTCATGAGCCTACCCTGCGGATAGTGAATACAGAGTCCCCTCTCTGCTGCCAAAATGGTGGAGAAAGGTCAGGAATTTGAAAAACTCAAAACTGCTTGGAGGAGGGCAACAGACTGGATGATACGCAGCCACAGAAAGATTGGCAGAACCTTAGTGGTGGTATCTGGGAAGTGACAACTGGAAAAGGCCTACTCATATTGGAGGATTCTTGGGTGGAGGCAAGTTCTGAGCAATGGGAGTTGGCTTGAAAGGGAATGTGGTGAGTGGTAATGACTGCTAAGGGTGTTGGTAATCGGGGTGTGCAGGGAATGGCATGTATTGGGGCATGAAGAGCTCTCTAATGTTGAGACCCAGATATTGACCAATTCCTGTATCTCAGGTAGAGTCAGTTCCAAGAACTCGATATAGAAGACTTGTGTCTGGGTAGGGGACTTGCATGCAGACTCACCCAGATTGCAATAAGAGAAAGAGGCTGCACACAGGTTTTTCCCTTCTGCCATCTGAGCATGTGTAGGGGATCTAAACAGGGTTTCATGACAGCTGCTGTTGATCCTACCCAACCTTCAAAATTCAGCTCGAATTTCATCTCCTCTCATGAAGCTCCTACATAACTCAAATTGATCTCTCCCTTCTCTGCATTCTGCAGCATCAATCATTTCAGCATTTAATCATGCACTGCGTTATATTATTCACATCTTTTGCATTTAAGGTCTTGCCCACAAGATGAGGATATCCTTCGCAATGAGTACACAGGGATTGATTGGCATGCTTCCGGTGTGCCTAGAGCTGTACTGGGCCCTAAGGCACAAAGCAAAATTCGGAAAATGAGATGGATCAGACGCTGCAAGTTGTCTGCTAGATATCCTTTCTCTCCTTCTTATCAGAACCCATGCTGGGCTGAAAAACTACATTTCCCAGCTATGGTGGCCATGGGACAGGGAACTGGCCAATGAGATGTAAGTGGAAAGGGCTGGGAAGCAGGTGCATGCTTTTTTGGTTTTTTCCTCTCCTCTCAGGAACACAGACAAGATGCTGGAGATGGAGAGGCCGCTGTGTGACCATGAGAGAGTGAACATGAGGGCAGAGCACATGGTGCAGGTGGCTCAATGAGCAGCCCACCGCCAGACTTCTGGCTACATAAGAAAAACAAAACCCTTACTCAGTTGAGCAGGTGGAAGTTGGATGTTCAGTTATATTCAGCCAAACCTGATCCCAACGGACGGGACATCCACAGTTCTTTATCAGTGGTTCTCAAACTTTTCCACCAAAGAAACCCTGAATATGGGGGAGTGAGAGTAAAGAAAAAGGTGAAAATTATAGCCTTGATGGTTTGGGAGGGGACTCAAGCAGCCACCACAGGATGAACATGTCCTTGAAGTTGCTGGGTTTTTTTTTTCTTCTTCTTCTTAGAAATGCATGTGAATTCTTTTCCTTCTTTTCATGTATTTCTATTTATTTTAATATAAAAACAATATCTTAACTCATTTACAGGTTGTTTGTGGATTGAATCGTGTCCCCTAAGGCCTCCTCCCCCGCAAAAAAATTAAAAAGGTATGTTGAAGTCCTAACCCCTAATACCTTCCAATGTGACTCTATTTGGAAATAGGACCATTGTGGTGTAATTAGTTGAGACTGAGGTCATATTGGAGCAATCTGACCTGACTAGTGTCCTTATACTAAAACGGCCACATGAGGACAGAGACGCACAGGACTAATGCCACGTGAAGATGGAGGATTGGACTGATACATCCACAAGCCAAGGGACACCAAAGGTTGCTGGCAGACCCCCAGGAGCCAGGAAGAGACGAAGAAGGATTTCCCCTACAAGGTTCAGAGGGAGCATGACCCTGCCAACACCTTGATTTCAGACTTGAGGCCTCCAGAACTCTGAGTCGATACATTTATCTCCGAGTCGATACATTTATCTCATTTTAATCCACTCAGTGGGTGGTACTTACAGTGGTGGCAGCCCTAGGAAAGTAATACACAAGGTAACATATTTCTCTAGTCCTCCAAATTCTTGAGCGACACTGTCATTCTTGGGAGAGATTATGGTGAATGCGGAGCGTTCTAGCTTGAGTAGCTGTAGGAGTAAACAGATGGGGGTAAGGACATACTATGGGAATGTATTGATGATAACTCAAGATATGGGGCTTGACCTCTGGCCAGAACTTGGAAACTTCACTCTAAATTCAAGCTCAAGAGCATAAAGATACCTAGAACTTCTAGACTTGACTAGTTTACTAAGGACATGAGTGTAAAGTAGCACATGGGGCCAGGACTGGGTTTTTATGCCAGACATTGCATAGCTGTGGGTGCAGGTATGACTCGAGGTGCCCTGAGTACCCACTTAGTCCTGAGTCAGATTAAGGAACATGTGGAAGGAGAAGAACCCCCCCCCCACACACACACACAGAGGGGAGCAGAGTCTAATTCAGCCTGGGCCATGCCAAGTTTGCTCACAAATAACTCCAAATGAATCGGCTCTTTGGCTTTCCTTGATTTGGGGAGACAACTAAGCTAGAAATGTCCAAGCCAGAGCCTTGTCTGTTCTGCTCTGGACCCCTATTCACAGGCACGGAGCCCCACAAATTACCAACTGGCCTTCGGGATTGATTTGGGCTCCTTTACACCATTGTTTTTTCTAGTTATTGAAGTAAATCTGAATTATACAAATCAAGCAAAGGGGACAGGGTGACAAGTGGAGGAGGAGATTAGGTGGAATGAGCCTGGGAAAGCAACAGGGGGTGGGAGCATTGGAGGTGAACAGAGGACAAAAGGGATGTGTGTGTGTGTGTGTGTGTGTGTGTGTGTGTGTGTGTGTGTGTGTGTGCATACCAATGCTTTTGCCAGCCTGCATTTTGGGTTGGATTTACTAAAGTTCTTGATCTGGTAGCAAGGAAACACAGCAATTTGGGAAGAAACAGAGAAAAGATAAAGATAAATTTGGCTTTGAAATGAGCTAAAATTTGAAAGTTGTAAGGTTTTATTATTACTAGTATATAAATGAGAAGGGTGTATAGGAGAGTGAAAAATGTCTATATTTGCTGCCTTGTCTTCTAATTGATCGATTTTTCAGGCTTGGCCAGGTGCAGTGGCTCACGCCTGTAATCCTAGCACTCTGGGATGCCGAGGCAGGTGAATCCCTCAAGGTCAGGAGTTCAAAACCAGCCTGAGCAAGAGTGAGACCCCGTCTCTACTAAAAATAGAAAGAAATTAATTGGCAAACCAAAAAATATATATAGAGAGAGAGAGAAAAAAAAATTAGCTGGGCACGATGGCACATGCCTGTAGTCCCAGCTACTCAGGAGACTGAGGCAGAAGGATTGCTTGAGCCCAGGAGTTTGAGGTTGCCGTGAGCTAGGCTGATGCCACGGCACTCTAGCCTGGGCAACAGAGTGAGACTCTGTCTCGAAAAAAAATTTTTTTTTTCCAGGCTTGTTGCTTAAGAACTGCTTGCTGACGTTCTGTTCCTGGCTAATAATTCAAAGAAATCCAAATTGAGGCCCCAGCTCCAAATCGGCAGGACCTGAAATTCTACCTGGTGAGATTCGTTCATTCTGATCCTGGCCAACTTTTGGACTTCTGGATTTCTCTTTAAAGGATAAATACTCCTGGGAATGTGAATGCCTTAAACCTTTATCACTTAATACCTTATAGAGAAGATTAGCGGATTAGCTGAGCATTGGCCCAGAGTAATGAGGGATAAAAGAAGGAAAAGAGCTGATGGAAGGCACCAATAAAAAAAGCACTGACTTTGAGCCTAGAGCTGGTCTTGCTGCTTCTATCCACTGTGCAACCTGAGAAAAATCCAGCCTGGTGCATTTGCAGGAGCAATGAGGATTTTTATACTTATGAGTCACTGATTACTCACTCAAAGCTTCCTATTGCACATAGGAAGCCATGTAAAGACTCCACATCCAGTTTGGGGCTGTTCTAGAAGTCCTGATTTATTCCTGCAATAAACACATATTGAACCCCTACTGTGTGGCAGGCACTCTTTCAAGTGCTACGTTGGCAAGCGTGGACACAACAAGCCATAGTTCTTGCCCGCACAGAGCTTACTTGGCTAGCTGAGTTTAGGTTGGGTGGAACAGACAACAAGCAAACAATGAAATGCATCGTGGCCAAATGATAATAAGTGCAATGGACAAGAATAAGACAGGAAAAGGGGAGAAGTCTGGGGGACAGTGAGCAACGTTTGATGTGACATTTGAGCAAAGATCAAAAAGAGGTGAGAGAACGAAACGTGTGTATATCTCGGGGAAGAGGACTTGAGGGAGCAGAAACAGCAAGTGCAAAGGTCCTGAGGTATGAGCATGCCCCGCTATGGGGAAAACACAGGGGACACCACTGTGGTTGAGTATGGGGAAAAAATAGGAGATGCGGTCAGTGAGGTTCAGGAACCTCATCACATAAAACCTCCTAAGTGTTTTGTAAGGACTCTGCCTTTTAATCAGAAAGAGATCGTGGATGTGGGTTGCTGTGTGGGAAGATTCTAAGTGATTTTAGGTTGAAAGTAGGAGATTATGTGGACTCATCAGAATGTTAGGAAATAAAGCAGAAGTTTATTTAAAAAAGAAAGCTGTTTAAAAGGTAGTAGTGGGGCTTTCCCTAGAAACCAGCTCCTGTCATCTTCCAGGGAGGAAGGCTCTGTAAGATGCTTGAGGACCACCACACCAACGAATGGGATCCCCACCCAGGCTGGGAGAGCAAGGATAGCCCCTGCCAACATAATGCCCCATGGGAATTGGCCTGGTCATTGTTGACTGCCCCCGGAGCTGACCCCACATGTTCTGCAGCCACACCTAAGAGGACTTTTTCCCTTATAAGCCAAGAGGACCTGCCTACAAACCTCCCTCCTCTTCCCACCCACCTGCCAAGTCACAAGATATGAGAATACAGGCAAAACTTGAAAATCACTTTTTACAGAGGCACATTGGGCCTCTTTTTACTTTCTGTTTATTTATTTTCTGGCCCCAGAGTAAAATGATGGGTTACGAAAGCATTGTAAGAAACCTTGAAGAAGCAAGAAAACCTACTGAGTGCATTGGATTTCTTTTCAAAACCAGTGTAGTTGACTATCCTCTTCTAGAGATGCGAGGGTAGATATTGTCGTGGAGGGAAGAGAAGCCCCCCAGTAAGAGCTGGTTTTCAGTCTCAGCTCTGACCCTGACCAGCTGTGTGATCCTGGGCAGGTGAGCTAGAGAAATGAATCTTGCCTGCCTGACCCCTGCCTTCAAGAAAACCACTGCCCAGGGAAAACCATGCTCCCAGGTTTTGGTTCTATCACGTAACCCCTACGTGCCCCCTCCTCCATCTCTACCTCCTCCATCAAGGGGTAAGAAAGCCCCCCAAGACAAGCTAAGCGAGACCGAACTTGTTCTTATCTGTATTAGAAAATGTGGAGAAAGGAAGCAGCAAGGACTGGAGCAGCTGGGCAACAGGGGAAGAGCAGGGGCAGACGGGGCAGGGAGTGGGGAGACAGGAGCACTGCCGTCGTTCTGGCCTGAGCCATCCTCCATCTCCCCCCGCCCCCTCCAGCTCCCTTCTCCTTGAATCACCTGGAGGGCTGTCTCTAGCTAAAAGCACCTCACTAGAACCTAAATCAGTTCCAGGGGATGGCTCAGGGCAACAGACTCTCACTGTGCAGATGGCTGTGGCTTAGGAACAGACTTGGGGAGACGGCAGAGCATCCCTCTACACATCCTGGGACAGATCTCATGTGGTTCACGGTCAGCGGTGTGGAGACACCTAATGAGCTAATCATCTCTGCTTCTCACGGACTGGCCCTTGAGCCAACGGGGGGCAACTGGGAGCCACGGACCAAGAGCAATTTACAGGGGATTATGAATGTAAGCTTGACCAAGCTTTGAAGAACACTTCTCCTAGCCCCGATTATCTCAAACACTGTTGATCTGCCAAATTTCAGCATCGGCCAAACTCTCTGCCTTTCTGTGTTTCTTCAAGTAGAGGTAAAGATTCTAGAAAGTGCAATGAAGATATCTCCAATGGCATAATTGCAGGGATTAACACCCACCCCTGCTCTGTGCATCACGACACTCCGCACACCCCCAGCCCCTCCCTTGCCTGGGAACACCACCAGCTGCACCTCTGTCTCTGGACAAGCAAGGTGACCTCAATGATCCTCAGGCAACCACGGGGCTGGGCTGAGAATGCCACTCAGGCCCGAGGTAGAGCAACATGCAAAATGAGATCAGGGAGGAGGGGTGACCTGGGGCCCTGTCCTTGCACTCTGCTCCCCACTGGACCCCAAGGCAGGAGTCACACTAAAGAGGACAATGCTTATGGGAGTGATGGAGGAACAGTGACGGCGCATCTGAGTGGCTGCTTACAGCTCAGTCTTCAATGAAACTCAGGAGCAGGCACAAGTGCTCAGTCCCTTCTTCATAATCCAAAATCCAAATGTTCTGAAAGGCAGATTTTTTGGTAACTCTTTGGGTGGCAAAAACTGACTTAACAACATGGGAAGCTATATACGCTTTATCCCAGGTTGAATCATAGTATTTTTGCAGCAGAAATATTGAACAGTGTGATTTGGGGATCCTGCCCTAGAGCCTACTGGGGATATTGAGCATTTTAGGTTATGAACTATGTTACCTTTCCATATCTGACAAATTTTTTTAATTTTAATGAACTTCAGAAAGGGTCAGAATTCTGAAACCCATCTGGCTCCTAAGGTTTTGGACAGGGAATTGTGGACATAAAGATTGCGTACAAATGGCCAATACATACATGACAAGATGCTCAGTATTATTAGCCACCAGGGAAATGTAAACCAAACCACAAAGACATAGCACTTCACACCCACTGGAATAGCTACGATTAAAAGACAGCCAATAACCAGTGGCAAGGCTGTGGAGAGACTGGAACCCTTACTCATTGCTGGTGGGCTTGTAAAATGGTATGGCCCCTTTAGAAAATAGTTTGGAAATTCTTCGAAAGTTAAACATAGAGTTACGATATGACCCAACTCTTCTACTCTTAGGTATTTATCCAAGAGAAATGAAAACATATATCTTCACAAAAACCTACAAGCAAATGTTCATAGCAGCATTATTCATGATATCCAAAAGGTGGAAACAACCCAACTGCCCATCAACTGATGAGTGTATAAAGAAAATGTTGTATACCCATACAGTGAAATGCTATCCAATCATAAAAGCATGATACATGAGACGTGGGTGATTCATGAAAACATTGTGCGAAGTAGAAGAAGGCAGACATGAAAGGACACATGTTGTAGGATTGTACTTATCTGAAATGTCCAGAATAGGGAAATCCATAGATGTAGATTAGTGGTTGCCGGGGACTAGGGTCAGGAGGAAAGGAGAGTGACTCTTAATGTGTACAGTGTTTCTTTTAGAGTGGATGAAAATGCTATAAAATTAGATCGGGGTGAGGGCTGCAGAACCCTGAGAATATTCTGAAAAGCATTGAACTGTGCACTTTATTTAATCAATCAATCAATTAATTTTTAAAGACAGGATATCACTCTTTTGCCCAGGCTGGAGTGTGGTGGTGCTATCATAGCTCACTGCAACCTCAGACTCCTGGTCTCAAATGATCCTCCCACCTCAGCCTCCCAAGTAGCTGGGGCTACAGGTTTGTGCCACCATGTCCGGCTAATGATCTTTAAATGGGTGAGTTGTATGGTATGCGAATTATATCTCAATAAAACTGTTTAAACATAAGTAAATAAAAATCCAGTCTGATAGATTTTTGGTTCTGGCTAATTCAAAACAAAGCAGTAGAATGCTTTGGGGACTTTCAGGAAATTCTCAGACCCTAAAATACATGATGAAAAAGTCAAACTGGCCAGAAATGGACTGCAGCAGTGATACAAGCTTTCCTGGGAGATCCCTGCCAGTTGGCAAAATAGGCCAACAACCATGAGATTCAGATGTGTGATTACAGACCTCACCACTCTCAGGTGACAGGCTCATAGGGCCAGCTGGGACTCTCCCATGGCAGAGGCTGTCCTTTTCTGCTGCAATGTGTGGTGCTAGCCCTCCAATAGCCAGGAAGGGTGTAGGTTTGGGATAGGTATCCTTTGGGATACCTATCCCAAAGGAGAAGTATCTCAAGTTGTTTCTGTGCAGCTGGTGGTCACATTTAATCTTCAGTCTAGTGCCAAGAAGTAGCAGAATGGCAGAAGAGGATCACAACAGAACCTGAGGAAGAATGACCATTCCTGGAGATTGTAGATTATGAGGCTAATAAGTGGCTCTTGGGATGGTGCTTGATAAAATTTCTGGATACGGTGGTTTAGTCCTGACAACCCATAGCTTGCAAGGGAGGAAGCCAAGGGAACAAATACCCCAACCTCTCTCTCCTCCCAGCCTTGCATCTCTTGCCAGGGGCACCAGGCAGGAGCCAGAGAGCGATGGAGCCTGCAGACAAGCCCCACTAGGCAGTCTCTGAGGACAGGGCAGGGTGGAGGATGGCGGAGAGCAGATCTCATGGGTGAAAAGGAGGACATTCAGTACAATCATGAAACGGCTCCAGCATTTGTGAGTAATAAACCAGTCAACAGACACTCAGCACCTCTCTGAACATGACACTGTGCATGGAGCTCTAAATGACAACACGGAGTTGGAGAGATAAGACCCAGTCACTTGACAATTATGATTGTAAAACAGAATATATGTTCAAATGAGTACAAGACACAATCAGTGAATTCCAAAGGAACTCAGAGAAGCAGGAAACACCTCTTGGAGTGGGGAGATGAGGGAAGAACACCTA